TGTCTCTACTAAATGAAAATAAACAATTTTAAATTTCATAAAGTGAAAGGAGGATTTTTTGGGTGATGAAATGTTTACATTTTATGAGGAAGGCCAGAAGATGTACTTGTTCATACTTATGCATTAAAACTACAAATAAAAGTTTACTATTCAGAGCTAATAATAATTAAAAGAAATAAGAATGGTAAAAGTAGCAAAAAGTGGCTTCTGAAGAATGGGATTCGGGGGAACTTTGGCCTCAAATCCACTTCTCTATTTTTGGAATAAAAGTACACACAAATTCATTACTGCTATGATAAAGAAAACACAAAAGAAACCCCACAAGCAAACCCAAGTAGGTTCAAGCCATGACTTATTGCCATGCTTTATTCCTTAAAGTCCCACAATACAAGATCACACTGTTTGGTTGAGCTACCTAGCCTGCTTGGTTGAAATCAGCAGATAGAACAGCAATTACTTATAGGGAGGTGGCTCAGATTGGACAGGATAGGAGAGGCTGATGCATGAGTGGAAATAGGGCAGATGCCCACAAATATCTCAGTGTGGATGGTGTCTCAAGTGGCTTTAGTCTCTGATTTGCTCCCAGACATATATAGGAAATCACATGGAGGTCCAGAATCTTGATAATCCTCATTTGGTCACCAGGTTTTACTCCAGAACCTGCAGGCATCTCCTGGCTTAAGAGAACAGGGGTACATACTCTCTGTTACCCAGTCTGAGTTTGGCCTTTCCCCTTCAGTTCAAGTCAGCTCTCCAACAGTGGACAGAAGAATGGAAAATGTTCTACACAGAGAAGGCAGATTTCTAAGTACAGAATTTGTTCCGAGTTCACACCCTGTGTTTCCACCTTGAGGTGACACATGCAGGAGGACAGGGTGCTCCTTTCAGTAGAAACAAAAAAAGGTCGGAGACCTTCTGAAAACTGAGTATAGGCAAATCTGACTGTGCGAATTGATAATGGGTCCATTAGGCATTTCTCCCTTCACATTCATCTTACCATATTCTCCCTTTTTATTCTAACCATTCAAATCTTTGTCATGGGTATTACTTCCAGGGATTAGCTTCTATAATCACAAATTTCAATGCTTTACCATTTTATCAAGGTTATTCTCCTTGACATATTTTGGAAAATCCCAGGAAGAAAATTATCCCAATGGAACAATTGTGGAGTGTTGCTTCATATATTTACAAGATCATAGAGTTAAGGAAAAGATACTGCATGGTGAAGAGCCTTAGGTGAACCACATTGAAGCACTATTTCCTCTCTTGGACCTTAAGGGACAAGGAAGATGCAGTCACCAGAGAGCAGTCATATACAAATCTTGAGCAGTGAGAAAGGATGATCAGAATAGGCGGAGAAGCACTTCCATTGCCAATACTGCCTCATATACAGACAGCCAGGAGATAAAAACCCAAATCTTTCTCCTCTTGCCTTCTGTCTCCTTATGGTCTCTCCAGTGGATCAATTCAACCAGAAACAAGAAGGAAATGCATCACATTGAGGATCTTCATGGAAGACACACTCCTGTGATACCAAAAAGGGTATGGAAGGATAGGATGAAAATCATCAAGGAAAAGGGAGACTATTCTTCATATCATTTTTTTTGATGGTACTGGGGTTTGAACTCAGGGCCTCACACTTGCTAGGCATGAGCTCTACCACTTGAGCCACTCCACCAGACCCCTTCTTCATATCTTTTACTTCATATCTCTTCACTCCCTGGGTTTTTCTCAATCTAAATATCACTGAGTAGTTTCTCATCTCATCTCCATCAGTGTTTTGTTTGTTTGCAGCTTCTTTTCTAGTGGTACTTTTATGGAGCATTCACTATGTTGATAAAAATGCCTTGAAAATAGAATGTAATATAAAAGAAGAAAATGTAATTCTTAGTGGTCAAAGAATAAGTTTGGTTACTCAAATAGAGAACCTCAAATTGAAAGCTATTTGGTTACTCAAATAGAATAAGAAGTGTTTAGATTGTAGGTTCTAAGGCATCAGCCTCTAGAATTTCTTAAAAATTGCTCCTCTCCAAACTTAGAAAGGCACCCTCACCCTTGTCATCCTAAATGGATTCCAATCTCCTCAGAATCCCAGCAAGTGGGGAAATGGGGAGGACTGGGAAGATTACTCCCTATTAATTCTGTGATACATGTGTTAGGTAATTTGGCCAGGACCAATCCATATGGTGCACACAGCTTTAAGGGAGACTGGAAAGTGGCATATGTTTGCAGAGAATTACTATGTTATAGAAGAGGAGAATGACCATTGGAGGTACTAATAGTTTTTCTGGCTCCTGTCACTCAGATTCTGTGATCACATGAATATTTTTTGGGAGCGTCTCAGAAATAAAGAATGATAGAGTTGAGAACAGTGGTAAAAGCATCTCCTGGAGACAGGGCTACAGGAGACTACAGGCTGCTATTGGGTCTTCTCTTGATAATGTGATCTTAGGAAAATCCCTTTGTCTACATAAGCCTCAGTTTCTTTTTGTAGAGGTAGTACAATAGAGTGTCTTTAAAGAACACAAGATAAATATTTGGGTATGATAGTGAGCAAAGCAGGAACAATCTCCTGCTTATTGAACTTCAAGTTTGGTGAAGAAGACTTCGAAGCCTAAAATCACAAACTATTATGTGTATTTTTTTGGTCTCTTTTTTTCAAAAAAATTTATTATCATATTATTGTTGTACTGGGAATACATTGTGATATTTACAAAAGTGCTTACAACATATCCTAGTTAAATTCACCCCTTCCATCATTCTCCTTTATCCTTCCCCTCATTTTTAGAATATTTTCAACAGGTCTCATTTTTCTATTTTTATATAGGAATGCATAACATTTCCACAAAACTCACCCTTCTACATCATTTCCTTATATACTCCTACTCCCACTGGTACCAATCTCAGACATGATCTGATTTACATTTCTGTCTTCTATTTTTGAGAAAAAGGAGACATTTTTGTTTGTTCAAGATATTTATAAAGAGAATTTCATTATGATATTTCCATGTATATGTGCCTTGAGTGGGGATGGAAGAAATTCTGTTTTTTTTCTTATACCCTATTCAAGCCAATCTATGATATAAGAGCTTGTCTGACTAAGAGACATCATGGTGGATATATTCACTATTGATGCCTTTCTACACCCCAGAGGCACAGGATGTACCTTCTTTTACTTGGAGACCTCTTTCTTAGCTCAGTGCTCTGGATTCAGAAAACATGGCTACCTTTGGGAGGCATGAAAGGCCCCTGAATTCTCTTATCTATTCCTAATTAAATTCCACTTACATGTTTCTTACGTTCTATTGAATAGCTTCTCTTCCTCTGTTTCAGGTGTTTCTTTATGCTAGATTTTATTTGTATCCAGAATGTCTGCTATCTTGGATTTACCTTGGGCATTATTCCTCTGTTTTTCTCTTATCCAGATGATACCTGATCATGGTGCATCAAAGGGATGGTCAAAAGGGTCCTGAGGCAGGTATGCTGGGTTAAATTTACACTATGTGAGACTAGTAGTAAATCAGTCATTATTTTTGTTCTCAATTGCATGTTTTATTTTTCTCACAGTACTGGGGTTGATGTTGGAGCATATCTTTTGAGAATAGGAAACATACCATTTACTACCAAATAGGCTCTAGAGTAGATTAAAAGATACAATGCTTAATGAACTCTCAGTAAGTTACTATTATTCACTCATGCGAACTTTTCTCTTTCTCTATTTGATATCTGTATGAACATCTCTCTTTGCATTACAAACCCTGTACTTTTGTACTTTCCCCCACAATCTTCTCTCACACAGAAGTGTTTATCAGGCTGGGAGTGGTGATTCAGGCTTGTAATCCCAGCACTTGAGAAAAGAAGACAGGAATATCACACATTTAAAGCCAATTTGGTCTCAACAGTGAGACCCTATCTCAAAAAACTCTCATCAGAATAGAAACTCTACTAAGGTTATCCTGGGAGATAGCATGGAATAAGATGGAGTAGAGTAGGACATATTGCACACTCTACAACACACCACTTAATGGTCCTCCACAGATACTCCATATTTCAAATACCTCTTTTCAGAGGTTCCCCAGACCTCATCCTAACTTACTACTTCCTCATCTGTCCAGATGAAAAATTCAACCTCAACACAAGCCCTACTCTCACTTTGTACAGCAAAATGCTTCTAGGTGCTGAGCAAAGCTACATTGAATCCTCATTACAAAGGCACACCAGTGATCATCTTCAGTTATTTGGGCACACATTAAGTAATTCTTGATTCTTGTAAACACACAGTGCTGCTCTTGAAAGCATGCTGAGTGAAATTTTCTTTCTAACATGATATACATGTATGGTAATTCCTTTCATTTTTATTTTCTATTGAACTCAAACCATCTAATACCCTAAGGATTCTCATTCATTTCTTCATTCCTCGAAGAAATATTAGGAACACAATGTGCCCCACACAGTATAATCTCTGGGGTTATAAAAAGTGGCCCTGACTTCATTGGACAACACACTGAGACATTTGTAGTCCACCAGGCTTAAGCTTTCTCACAAATGTCAAGAAAGAGATCACAGTTTCCTCAAGTTGTAAAGCAATACTTCTTTTTCCTCCATCAGGGAACCCTCAAAGTTATGGATGCATCATGATTGCCTCTGTGTCTTTATAAATTCCTGCAACTGAGAAATAATTTCTCTCCCAGGACAGAGTATTGTTGGGTCTGAAGCTCAATCCCACTGAATGGAGGTATTTGGATCATAGAATATTCCATATTATTTAGAGGACCTGAGTTGAAGGAAAAGGAAGGTCAGGCTATAGACTCAATAAGTACTGGGTTTGAAACCATATACCCTACCTCTTGATTTTTTAATCACAACAATCCTTTGTTCCCATCCTCTTTATAACAGGGATGGTAACTTGCAAATCAGGTGGTTCTGAGAATGAGTGATCATATAGAAGGTTCTCAAATCTTGTTTGTGTTCTCAGGGTCACCAGTGGAGGTTTTGTGAGCATGGATACAACCATCCCACCTGAGTGGACAGAACCCACACCAATGAATGGAAGTAACCAGTCCTCTTATCCATTTTGTGACAACACCGAGGTCCTGGATTATCTGATCTTCATCATTGCACCAGTTGGACTGGCAGGAAACATGACTGTGCTCTGGCTCCTGGGCTTCTGTATACGCAGGAATGCCATTTCAGTCTACATCCTAAACCTGGCTCTATCTGACTTCCTCTTCCTCTGTTGCCTTATTATTTCTTCCCTGCTGGATATCATCAAAATTATTCAATCACCTCTCTGTCTCTATAATCTTAAGCAATCTGGCATTCCTTCCCTATATTGCAGGACTGAGCATACTCAGTGCCATTAGCACTGAGCGTTGCCTGTCAGTCCTGTGGCCAATTTGGTACCGTTGTCACCGCCCAAGACACATGTCACCTGTCATGTGTGCTGTCCTCTGGTCTTTGTCTCTGATGCTGATCATCCCAGAGTGGTACTACTCTGGCTTTGTGGATCCGTTTTTTCATGGTGATTGGTGGAAATATGTTGATTTTATCATTTCTGCATGGCTGATTATTTTATTTGTGATTCTTTCTGAGTCTAGCCTGGCATTGCTGCTCAGGATCCTCTGTGGCTCCAGGCGGATGCCACTGACCAGACTGTATGTGACCATCCTGCTAACAGTGCTGGTTTTTCTCATCTGTGGGCTGCCTTTTGGCATTCATTGGTTCCTCTTATGCTGGCTTCCAATTCCTTTTTACACTTTTTGTTATCTTCATCCAATGACAGTTGCTCTGTGCTGTGTTAACAGCTGTGCCAATCCCATCATTTACTTCTTCATTGGGTCCTTTAGGCAGCGACGACAGCAGCGGACCCTCAAGCTGCTTCTCCAGAGGGCTCTGCAGGACACTCCTGAGGAGTAAGAATGTGGAGATGGCCATCATCAGGAGAGCCTGGAAATATCCAGAAGCTAGTGTCATAATAATGAAGACCCCTCCTGTGGTCACACAAATGTGGCTTTGAAAGTCCATGCTACAGTTATGTACTCTTCTTCTAGATTCATGAATTGGGAATTCCTCAGTGCTTGCAATGCCTTCAGATAAAGTTTTTAAACTTGATTTTTCTTATATTTCTTAGAGAAATATAAAATAATAATTTTTATATAAATATAAAATAAATAATTTGTATATAAATATAAAATTCTTATTCAAAAATAAGAACGCCTCCAACTTTTTTGATATTATCAAACAATTCCTCAAATTTCCTTTGAACATTTCTTAAGGAATGCATTTTCTTGGTGTTTTTCATTGCAGAGGAATGAATTCCTATTTAAAGCCATATTCTCAGATTTATAAGCATTTTCTACTAGAAGGTATTGAAAAAAAAGACTCCCTGCTTTTATCTCAGACCATATTCCCAGAGAATGAAATCATGTTCTGTGATGGGTCAGTACTCCAGGTAAAAGCTTGGTTCTAAAGGAGTGAGTTCTGTTTCATGTAAATATCACTGCGTTCTCTGGGTTTGGGAAAAATAATTTCCTTCGAGATAGACTTTTACTGCAAAAGAACAGTGCAGGAAATTGGGCTCATGTAAAGTTTTCTGGTGACATTTGTTCATGACATGATGACAGATTGGCCTTGTTTGTCAATAGATAAAATCATGTCTTTCATGTTTCAGATCTGAGAAGTGGTTATTTAGCTCTTTCTCTGACCAGTATGGTCTAGAAATATCCATATCCTGGATATATCAGAATGCAGAACCTGGGAGTGCTTGATTAGAAAGTGCACTGAATGTGAGATGAGGCATCTGAATTCCATGCTGACCCATTGACGAATCCAAACCACATGCCCACAACAGGCAACCCAAGCAGGTAATAAGGTTATTAGATTTCCAAGTCTAAATCTTATGCCATTAGTAGTCTGGAATCCATTTTTGGAATAAGACAGTAGAATTTGTACCACAGACTTGGGTTTAAGACAACTATCATCATGAATTAAGTACCCTCAGAAGTTCATGTTTCTTTATTGAAGAGATGATAGCAACAGTGGAATGCACACACTTTTTTAGTGTTGACTTTTTGCCTCTTCTAGGCCCCAAATTGGGAGCAGAGATATTTCTGACCTAAAAATTCAAATTCAGACATTTTTATCACCTTGGTATGGATGATTGCCTGAGAGTTGGTAGCCATTATTAGAAATGTCATATTCAAACTCTCTATGCCACCTTGCACTTCTTTTGAAATGCAGTGTTCCTATTGCGGAATCAGCTGAGTGCTGTTAATAGATGACTGGATAAGGGAAATATGGTATTTCTAGGCAATGGAGTTTTACTCAGCCATTAAGAAGAATGAAATTGTGGTCATTTGCTTGAAAAAGGATGGAACTGGAGCTCATCATGTGAAGCGAAATAAGTCAATACTCAAAGACAAGTAACACAATATTCTCTCATTTGTGGAAGCTAGGCAGAACAAAACAAAGAAACAAAACAAAACAAAGGAAAAAACTCCCAAGGTCATAAAAGAGGAAGAGAAAAGACAGAGAGAAGGAAATGGCATATAAAAATAGTTATAGAGGGGGAATATGATCAAAGTACATGGTGTGCATGTAGGAATGCCTTATGATGAAATCTCTTTTAATTAAATTTAATACATAGCAGTAAATTTAATTTAATTTAACATGTAGCAATAAAACAAAAGTAAAAAAGAAATCCAGTGTTTGTAGCACTTTGATATCCACATTGAATTCCTGTTTTAGCATGCTGTTACACATATGACAGAATAATGCTTACAGCTTGAGGTTCCAAAAAGTACAGAAGAGATGCAGATCTGAGCCTTTAGAGAATCTTTAAAATTCTATTTATTCACTTTAAAGATTTCACTTTTAATTAGAAACAAATATGGAAATAATTTTAACATATGCTTCATTTTAGTATAGTGGTTCAGTGAATGTTTATTATACAGTCACATATCACTTAATGGCAGGGATACATTCTAAGATATATGTCCTTAGGCAATTTTATCCTTGTGTGAATATCATAGTGTGTAGTTACATTAATATAGATGGAATAGCCTACTACACGTGTATGATATATGATATAGCTTATAGTCTATTTCCTCTAGGGCCATGATGAGCAAACAAAATAACTCAAGAATGCATCAAGCACAACAGAAAAAGGATGCCATTAAGAGACTCAATAAGTATGAGACTGCCACTGTAACATGCAGAAAGTTTTAAAGTAATTTTCCTTATAAGTAGACACACTCTCTATAATAGTAATAATAATAAAATGTAGTATTGCAAACAGATAACTGTCATTTATTTTTAATTTAGGTATTAAATACTGTACATAAGTGCATGTGTTATCCTTGTTTAAAACCATTGGCTGTGCAGTAGGGTTATAGACAGCTGCAATATCACAACATGTAATACATTGTGTTACAAGGTGACAATGGCTACAACATCATTAGGTGTTAGGAATTTTTCAGCTCTATTATAATATAAAGAGATCACTTCCACATAAGTAGTTTCATTGGATGAAAAATGTCATGTATGCATGACTGTATTACCTTCTTGCCTGTGTGCCTGGCTCATAAACTTCTCTAGAGTATACCACATTCTCATTTTTATTGACTTCTATATCCATGGAGGCAGTCTATACAACAAACTATTTCACTAGTTTTAACATTTCATTCTAAATTAATTACAAACTAACTATAAATTGCAAAAACAGTACAGAGATTTCCTGTTGTACTATCACTCAGCCTACACCAATGGTGATATATTACACAGATACAGTATATTATCAAAACAAGGAAACTGACATTGGTACAACAAATTGCCTATGCTTCAGATGCCATTCAAGTTTCACATGCACTCATCTTTGTTCTGGGAAGGGTTTATCTTTGCAGAAAATTCTACATTTGTCAGATACATAAATACACATAACTATCCCACATTCAGGACATTGATTCCTTCAGGCCTCCTTTCATGGTGCTATGCACCCCTTCCACTCCCAACCCCCTTGGCAATTTCTGACCTGTTCTCTACATCTTTACTTTCCTCATTTCAAAATGATATCTAAATGAATCATACAGTGTCTAAACTTTTGTGTTTGGGGTTTTTTTCATGATAGCCTCAAGATCCATCCAAATAGCTGCACATACCAAGTTTCTTGTTTTACTTGCTGAGTGCTATTCCATTGAATAGATATATTATGGTTTGTTTCACTATTCACAATTGGAAGGACATGAAGTTTGTTTCTAGTTGACTATTATAAATAAAGCTTCTATCAACATTTGTGTACAGATTTTAAGTGAATATATTTTCCATTCTCTGGGAGAAATATCTAAGGTGAATTTCTGGGTGTCATGGTGATCTATATTTAATTTTTTCAGAAAATGAAAAAGAGTTTTTCAGAGTAGTTGAATTGTATTGTGTTCCCGTCAGCAATGTATGAAAAGTCTGTTTTTTCAATATCCTTGCCAACATTTGAAATTGATTAGTTTTTATATTAGTTATTTTAGGAGGTATAAAATGGATTCTATACTGGTTTCTTTTGAGAACTCTCTCCGTGGTTTGTTCATGAGTTCTTCTTTTCCCTATGTCTTCATATGTCCTCCTTTGTGCGTCCATGTCCTAACCTTCTTTCATGTGGACACTGGTCATATTTGTTTAAGGCTTGCTTTAAAAGCTTCATTTTAATTTATTTAGCTTTAAATGTGCCATCTTCAAATACACACATATTCTGAAGTTCTTGGTGGTAAGCACTTTAATATCAGAGACACACATTTTAGCCTAATACAAGGTCCTATTAAGAATTTGTGAACTTTTCCAAATGTTTTTAATTTTTTCCCTTGTGTGAGTTTACCAGGAGTTTAAACAAAGATAATAGTACAAAAGTAGTTTCACTCAACCTAAAATTTATACTAAAAGAATTTACACTTCAGTTAAAAAATACTGACATTCTTTCTCCACTGTTTAAATTTTGAAGTAGTACATGCTACATACACTTTAATGAATTCTTCCTAAATTTCTTTCATAGATAATCTGTCTTCCCATAAAAAAGGAGAGATAAAATAGCTATCAAATTCAAGTACTTATTCATGAATTAAGGAATTATTCTTTGTTAGTTGAATAAAGATTATCCAGACTTTCCTAACAATGTAAAAAAAGAAAAGGCAATGCATATCATCCCTGAAACTAGCCTCTTTTCAAAAATGTTCATTTGGGCTATGTTTTTCTTTCTCTTTGGATGTCCCTTTTAAAACAGTTTTATGCTATTTTAAAATTAGTATACATTAATAATATGAGGGAGTTTCATTGTTGTAATTCCATACATGCATACAGTGTACTTAAAACAAGTTTACACTCTCTATTATGCATCTACTACTTTTTTAAAACAATGTTTGGTGGGTTTCATTATGCTGGCTTTGAATACACATATGTAACATACTTTGATACTTTTCACCTGTCAGTACCCTTTCCTTTCCCCGTCTCCATCCAGTTGATTCCCTCCTGACCACTCCTCCTTTTTACATTCATGGCTCATCACTATAACCACTACTACCACAATCATTATCAACATCATCATTTCAGGTCAAGGTTCCACAAATGAGTGAGAACATGAAACATTTTTATTCAAATTGCATTACTAGTTGACTTTCATTGAAGCACAAAAAAAGGAGTTACAGGATATAAGACATAATATTTTGAATACACACTATACAGCAGGGAGGAAGACCAAGAAAGGAAACAGACAAGTTTGTGTTCTGATAATGTAGCATGGGGAAGGAGATGGCATAGCAGAGAGATAAAACTTAAAGAATTAAAACATGAAGAAGGTCACATAGCACTGGGGGAATGAAATAGCTAATAAAGTCATATGTAATCATTTATGGGTTAAGCTTTGCTTTTTTCTTCTGTAA